CACAAGCACCCATATAAGTCAACTAACCTACTAGCCTTGTACTTAGCTAGTCTAACGGTTTCTCATTAGGCAACTCATGCTTTAGCACTTTCTTGTTCCAGTCAAACTGGGGTTTGGCAACCTCGAGGTAGTACATACCTAATACCATGTCAAAAAGCAAGTCGTCGCTGACTAGTAACAAAATCTCATAATCAAGTTCCCCACCTCCATAATAGAAGGTGCAGACCACGTCCCTGACATAGTCTTCTACAAACATGCGCTCTTTGTTAGCCAAAGTAGATACTACTAGTCTGCTTAGGCGCTGCACCCGATCCTTTAGGCGCAGTCCCTGAACACAGTCGCGAATTATGAAGTTATGTGTGGAGATGTCTACGAAGGCACCACACTTGCGGCCACCCACACCAACTTCCACTACGAAATGCTCCCCTCTAGGACCACTACATAGTGCCACCTAGGACGGTCAACCGACCACTCACTCTCTAAATCCTTTAAGGCCTCAGACACATGCAACGAACAGAGTATCGTTGGGTCAGGATGCATCTGCGGGGTGCGAAAGAGTCAATAGCAACGGGTAACTCTTGAAGTAAGGAGGGTACATCGCCCACTTCATTAGTAGTACAAGCAGCTACAACTTCTACTGGCCCGATGAGTTTCCCGAACTGGAGCTCGTAGAAGCCCCACCTTGGGAAGAAGAATTCCCAAAACCACCTTTGGGAGGTATCTTGTGCGATACCTTTGCGTTCTTGCACCTAAACTGCTGATGGCCAGACTCGTCGCAATTGATGCAAGCTCCTCGCGAATAACTGTCTCGCCACACAGCTTGATCCAGCCCCTGACTCTTCTGTTGACCGCCCTTGCTGCGACCAGTTGCCTTAACTTTTACTAAGGAAGCGAGGTTGCTACCCTCAACACTATCCTCACTTCCGCACTTTTTTTTTTTTTTTTTTTTTTTTTTTATTTTTTAAAGAGGTCCTTATGGTCCTGGCTCCATATCCATTCTGGGGAGCGTCAGTCCGGTCCCTATTCCCCCAGCAAGTCAAAATTGAATACATTATCATACACACTCACGCTTCCTTCCGTTTGGCCGAAGGAACCCTGACCAGCATTGATTACTCCTGCTTGGGAGGATTGACTGTCAGCTTACCCTACCTTAGTTTTCCTCTCAAAAACCCTGTTGGTTCCGTCGAATAGGCGTTGAAGCACAAGAAACTGGGAGAGATGTCTGTCCGTCTGAGACCAAAGCACTCCTTGTCTTCGTTAAGAGTGGCCCCTCTTCCAATCTGAACCCTTGATTATATCCTGCTCGTTGCCCTGCTTGTTCTTGTGCTCGTTGAACTATTCCTCCTCTGTAGATTACGTGGTGTTCCGTTGCTTTGTGGCTACGCTTGATGCCACTTTTTCCATATCAGCCTGTTGACTGCTATGTTCACTTCTGAACTCTTATTCGTCCACAAGGTCGACCTCGGTTTGATTCCCGTCGGAATCAACCACAATCAATCGAGTACCTTTGTTTTCTTCCACTCTTGTGGACTCTTCTTCTTTCTCTCATCCATCAAGGGTTGTTGGGCTCCTCCTAGCCTAGCCTCTAAGTCTAAGGCCTTCTTACCAAGGTTGTTGTTGTCCCGCTGGTGGGACCGCCTGCTGTGTAGTGGCAACCGCTGCACTTGGAGATGAAGCAGCAACAGTCTGTGCTGCTGCTGCTGAAGTACTGCTTGGTGAACTGCTAAACTGAGACATAGTGGGACTTGTCATCATCGGGCCCTCCTGTTGGAGATGTGAAAGCCCTTCCCATCCTCTGCATGGCACTCAGTATCTGGTCAAGGGTACCCTAGATAGCATCTAGTTTGCTGTCCATGTAAGCATGCATGGACAATAAACCCGCCTTGAGGATTTTGCTTGTGTCAGCAAGGACATTGTCATCTAACCCTTCTACATCAGCTTTGTCTGCCCTCCTATTCTCTAATCTGACTTTCCTATTCTAATCTCTGTTTCTCTTTCGGTGGCTTCTCCAAGTTCCTTCTCTAATGGTAAGCGGATCAACTTCACTTGCTGGAGTTCAATGGCCTCTCTTCTGTGTGGAGGTGACGAGCTGTACTGCGAGCCTGCCATCTGACAAGAATAACTGCTTTGTCCCATCCCGCTGGACGTGGCCTGCGAACTGGTCGGCATGCTGAATGTCTGCTGACCGGAGGTACCAGCGCAAGTAGCCATAGCTGCTGCAGTGGCTGTTGCCACTGCAAGCAATTGCTCCGCTGCTGCTGCTGCTTCTCTAGCCCTCTGCAAATATTCAACTACTACTTCCCGTTGTTTAGCCCTCTCTCCATCAGGTGGTAAAGCTTGGTGCACGATTGGGATCCTAAGGTACTGCTAATGTGTCACCCTTCTTCCTACAGATCTATCCTCCCCACTGCCTTGTCCACTCATTAGCTAGGTAGATGATGTCTGCACTAGTGCCCTCATAGTGGCCTACCACAGCATGTATCTGACTGGGTTGAAAAAAAAAAATAATAATAATAATAATATCCAGCAAGTCACCTAGGCTACTGCTCAAGTGCTATCAACAACATATACACAGACTGAGCACATGATCTAATCCTACTTCGATTAGTTTTACTCACAGCAGCATCGAACAGAACTAGCAATGGTAGAACACTACAGTTCTAATCTAGGCTGTCCGTTAGGTCTTAGCAGTCTGTCCACCAACTAATCAAAATAAAAATAAATCATGTGCGCAGATGTATGCACAATATAAACAATTGTGATTGTCGTTGAGCACCAATTGGAACCTTCCTTCCCCTGTATCCAACATGCCTGTCTGCATCATCAAGCAGCAGTGTCTAAGGTGTGCATTAACGGCCTACCCCTATGCCCAAGAACTCACTTATGACCAGCGCTGCCCTTTGTTTATCCTTGCGCGCAACGAGCCTTCCATCCGACTGATCTTGCTGATCAAGAGGCAGTTGAAGAAGAGCCCCCAAGGTCCTCCGGAATTATTTAACGTTGCAGACAGGACGACGATCACAACCAGTATTCAGAAGAGATCCTTGCCAGAAATATTTATAGACGGTCTGGTAAGCGTCTTGCATAGGACGGGTGTCCACGTTCCCTCTTTTGACGCAGAAAAGAGCTCAAAGGACAAAGCAGCATGGCCTGCGTGTACTACTCCCATGGGTTGGCATGGTGACGTGACCCGTGCTTCGACCAGGGCCCTTCAGAGGCACCGCCCTCTCCTGCCAGATGCGCCACCAGGAAGAATGTCGACTCTCAAGGTAGAGCGCTCATGACTCCCTATCCAAAAGAGGACACTCACGGTGGACTAACTTCCTCACGACAAGAAGAGATTGAGAGGGAAGATAAGGTAAGGGAACAACGTACCTGAAGATAGCTGCCCCCAACCACAGATTTCTCACCAATTAAGCCGACACGTATTTTGATGACCGGTCGTAGCCTCGGTACCACCCACAATGAAATGCAGTGCCACCTTAGCCAAAATGCCACATCAGCATGCTCTCATCATCACACATACATCCGCTGTAGCCCCAGCTCCCACGCTGTTCATGCCAGCGCCAATGTATCCTTACTGCATAGAAGCATCATCAGCATACCAAGTAACAATGTCGCCAGCGCCAAGTAATGACGATCTCGAACCAGCTCTGATACGAAATTGCAAGGAATATGAGCGAGAGCGATAGACAGAAAATCAAGTTGCAAAATCACGCAGAAGTCCAGATAGTCATGTACCGATCACGCAGGTCCAGAGAGTCATGTACCAAGCAGAGAGCTCAAATGCACCAAGATTCCATCCAAATAAGAGCAAAGCAGTGAACTCGTGTGCCAATGTTATCGCCCTCAGCCCCATCCAACACAGTATCCAATGTCACTCATCTTTGTCTGGCGCCCAGCGCCCAGCCTACTCTACTGAGTCTATCTCGCCTATCTACATTCGTGCACCAGTATCACTTCCAACGTCGAAGACCGTGTACATGATGTCAACACCAATGCCGACCTCCCACATACACCAGGTACGTTCTCCCTCCTCCCCTCATCAGACCTTGACCACCCACTCATGCGCCTCCTACCCGAAGACCACCTTCGCCCATCACCCGCATGCGCCCCTGCAGCCCGGCTATGGCTGCCGTGCGCGGGCTGCCCTGCAGCGCCGCTCTCACCTCATAGCGCCCGCCTGCGCCCCAGCCAGCAGCGCACATGCAGACACTTGCGCAGCAACGCAGCAGCGTGTCCGCATTGCCTGCCCAGGCCAGAATCCCCAGCCTCTGGCCAGCGACCTTACTGTTTGGAAGTCGCTGCCTATGTTTGGCTGCGAGGGTCTGGCTGAGGAAGCTCCCAGTAGCTTCCAGTCACGCCCAAGTGTCTGCGTCCAGGCCCTGTCTGACTGCTGGGGGCGTGGGCCGTTTCTGGTTGGGCATGTCCAGGCAGCCGCCAGGCTCCAAGTGTTTGCCGTCTTCTCATTGGCCCGCTGGGCCTCTGTGACGACAATGCTGCATTCTGATTTTGATGCCTGCGGCCCCTTTGTGAGGTGTCCGCCTCACACTGCGTGTGCCCAGGGCGCAACCACCTGGCCCTGGGCTCAACTGCTTGATGCAGCTGTTGTTTTTAGAAAGAGCCCAGGGAGAGTGTGGCATACTGCGTAGCCACACGGGCCTACAGGGCCCGTCCTGGACATTCAGCCTAAAAGCCTAAAACTTAGGGCTTACAGGCCCCGTTCATTTCAACCTGGATGCTGAAAAACGAGGGCCTGCAGGCCCCACCTCGTTTCAGCCTATTTCTGGGTCTTTTCAGACCCAGAGTTTTCAGCCTGAAACGGAGGGCCATTTTCAGGCCCTCATTGTTTCGACCTGCCCCTAAGACTCGGGCACGGAAACAGGGATGCGGAACAGGCCCAAAATAGCCTGTTCCTCACGTGCTCGAGCAGGAGCTGCAGCTGCAGCCTCTGCCTTCCTTCGGCAGGCTCAAGAGGCACACCCGTAGTACATAGGAGGATCCCATGCACTTCACGGGGAGGGTAGTGTCAGTAGGAGAGGTAGTCTTCAGGATTCGGCCGCAACACTCAGGAGGAGCGCTGCAGTAGTCTTCAGCGCTAGGCAGTAGTGGTAGCGCTAGCTGTAGTCTTCGGCGCTGGGCGCCATAGCTGTAGCTNTCCTTCGGCAGGCTCAAGAGGCACACCCGTAGTACATAGGAGGATCCCATGCACTTCATGGGGAGGGTAGTGTCAGTAGGAGAGGTAGTCTTCAGGATTCGGCCGCAGCACTCAGGAGGAGCGCTGCAGTAGTCTTCAGCGCTAGGCAGTAGTGGTAGCGCTAGCTGTAGTCTTCGGCGCTGGGCGCCATAGCTGTAGCTTAGTCTTCAGCGCTGGGCGCTGGTAGGTAGTAGATTGTAGAGTGGGAGAGAGACTGGCGGAGGCCAGTGCTACTTACCTGTGGCGCCATCGCTCCAGCTCCATCTTCGTGGTACCTGCATCAAGGAGCCAACTTCACAGGTTAGTACTGGACATAGAGAGAGAGAGTTCTTCTTCTTCCTCTTCCAAGTCCACCTTCTCTTCTCACCCTCTCGCCACCTGACTTCTCAGACTACGACAGAGAGAGACAGAGTTATGACTTGAGACTTGACGACATTGGATCCAGACTTGACATTTGGGATTCAGACAGTTCGACGAGGGACTATTTGGGCTTGTGCCGAAGACTTGGTGTTGACGACATTCCCATCTTCCCCCTCCTCTTCGTCTATCCCCTTCCTCCTCGTCTGTGCATGTTCTGGGCTGGCGCTGTCTTCCTGTGTGGAGCGCCATACCCATTCACACAATGAAACGATGATGATGATGTATGTTCAGGGCTGCATTACAACATTGATTGTTCGGATCACTGGTATCTAAGCCTTCTGCTGTGCTATCTTATACCTTGTATTGAAAGGTCGGTTCTTGTTCTGGTCTGCACCTATACGGTATGCAACAGAGAGGCTCACGTTGCACTTCAACCAACTGGCGTGCCGCAACTGTCTGATACCCACTTTGGAAAATGCTGGGATAAGGGCCTCTCGTGGATATTCAGGCCCGCCTTCACTTAGGGCGGGCACGATGCTTGCTGAGGGCCACAGCCCAGGTCATGTGCATGTCGGCTAGGGCCCCGTGCGAGCACATTCCTCACAACTCAATGTAGCATCAATTAATATAAGATCCATCACGGAACAACAAAAATAAAAAATGCATCGCGGAAATTCCTTTCCTATTTCCTTCCCCCCCCCTTCCCTCCTTCCCTTCTATGTTGTGGAAAGTTGGAAACATAGAAAGAGGGGGAGGGAGGGGGAGGGGGAGGGAGAAAAAAGGAGGCCCTTCTATTCTGGAGGGCATCAGCCCGGTTGCTTATCAACGGTAAACAACCCGATTGACACCCCCCAGAATAGAAGGGGCTGTGTTCTTTTCCCAAAAACAAAAAAGAAAAAAAAAAGAAGGAAACCCCCAGTGTGAGGTACGCCCTAAGAGTAATCGTTAGTACAAGTCCGGCCCTAGCCAGACAGTTCTGTGTGTCGTAAAGCAAGCATCAAACAACAGTCCCCAAGTCCATCCAAAAGCCAGTGTGGTTAAGCAGAGAATACGCACACATTTGACCACTCAAAAAAGCACCCGTCAGCTTCCCTGCTATCTTGTTCAGACATAAACGCACCGCAAAATCAAGGATCGAGCCAACTGGACAAAAAAGGCTGGAGGCACATGGCAATTTTACTACTGTGACAGTTCGCCTCAGGTTTGGGCAGCACAGTGCACACGAAAAAAGAGGCTTGAACTGACTGGCGGTTTAATGCATACTCGTTAAGAAAGAAATAAGTAGAGACCCCCAGACTCATCAACCTGGATGAAAACATTCACAAGCAAACAAAAAGATTCATCAACCTGCATGGAGACATTCACAAGCAAACCAAAAACTAGTAATCGTCAACGGTTCAAAGACATTGTCTGAAGCACCAACACGGGGCCGTGCCTCCTTGCTTACAGACCACAGCCCATAAACCGATTTGGATTTACAGACGTTGGCTGTGTGATGGACACAGAGCAGCAATATTTTGTCCGGAGGAAGGTTGTGGTATCATAAACTTGAGCTCCCACAGAAACTTCCATGCAACACCAATCGCGCTACTGCCAAGAGCACCCTGGTTCCTACTCCATATCGTCCTGTATTTCTTTTCTGGTGCGTCACACACACACACACACACACACACACACACACACACACACACACACACACACAATTAGTTTTAAGTATGCTTGTTTTTCCTCTTTCTCTTATTTTTTCTAAGTGCTTTTTGTGTCTCTAGCCGAGCACCCTCTTGCAGTGCTAAACAGTCGGTGGTTCCTCGTTTGGAGTGCCAACTGCACTCTTAGGGGGACCGCTCGGTTCGGGATGTCTGTGTTGCCTGTCGGTGATGACGGATGGTCGTCGGAGTGTCCCCCTGGCTCAGCGGGTGGTGGGAACCAACAGTCTGCAGGGTTCTATCGTGATGTGAGTAGGTCATGTGCTGCTTTGCTCCGTGTTGGATGTGTAGACTGTCTTGTCTGCGCTCTGCCGCGGTCGTGCTGCCCGTGCCGCTTGCCTTGCAGGTCGACCTCGCTGCTCTGCTGCCTTGCCGCCTACCCACGGGTCATGCCTCCCGTGTCTTTTGCTCGCATGCCTTGTGGTTTGGTAGCCTTGTGGAGGTGCCTCGCGCTTCGCTGCACGGTTGCTGAGCTGCTTGTCCGTGTGCCCTGTCGGCCTTCAGTGTCCTTTGCGTGCATGCCCTGTAGTTTGGTTGCCTCGTTGGTGGTGCCTTGTGCTTCACTGCACGGTTGCCGAGCTGCTCGTCTGGTTGCCCTGTTGGCCTTCCGCGTCCTTTACTTGCTTGCGTGCCTTGTAGTCTGGTCACCTTGTTGATGTTGCCTTGCGCTTCACCGCACGGTTGCCCAGCTGCTCGTCCGCTTGCCCTGTCGTTCCTTGCAGTCGTCTTTGGTGATAACCAGTTGGGCTGCCTCTACTGTGTTGCCTGGTGCTCCACAGGGTTGCTGCCCGCTGCTATGTCCCGCTTGGGGACAGTCTGCCTTCAACATGGGTCAAAGGGTTCATGACCCAAACCATCAAATACGGGGATTCCGCAGATTGTCGAGGGTTCAGCCTCCTGATGAGTCGGTGCAACTCCGATGAAACAATCTTATCATCATCAGTTTTTATTTTTTTCGGTCTTTTGATTTGCTTGGGACTTGTATTTTTTTTCGGTTTGCCTGCCTTGGTGTGTCTGTGTGCCTGTTTCGTGTGCTTGTTGTCTGCCTTCCCGCCTCCCCCGTGCCCTCCAGCGTGTGCCTTGATGTCTTTTTGCTTGCTTGGTTTTGGCATGCCCTGATGCTTTTCTTGTCTGCCTGGTCTTGGCGTCTTTTTGGGGCTTTGCCTGCTGGTGTGCTTGCACATTTTTGGCACTTGGGAAAAGCTGGTCATGGATAACCACGTTTGTATGAGGTAGCTCCAGTGAGTTCGCAGAGTGGCAGCATGCAGTGTTAATTTGGTTGCGGCAGGGCGGGGTGTACCATGGGTTTCATGGGGTGCATGGCGAGTACGCCGTGGGATATATTGGACACACACACACACACACACA